CAATTCCTCGGTAGGACAACAGAGGGCGTAGCGCTGTTCTGTAGTATCCTCATGTATCGGTCCAAGATAGTGTGTTTATATTGTGTTTTTTGTGTTTATAAGAGACTTTTAACACGGACATATTTGTCTCTCATTCTCCCACCGCTTCATGCGCTCCCCACCTCTAAACCTACATTTCCTGTCATTTCCGTCCACAAATAAAACGCTTGCTGCGCATCTTTTCACTCCTCCAGTCACGGGAGAATTAAACGTTCATATTTTTAGAGTTTTTTCGCGAGGTATTCTTCAAGCTTCTCCGTGTCTGACTGCCGCTAGTTATCCTCGGCTCTCTTTGCAATGGCGGCGCTGTAAACAACAGCGGCATCCTGACCAATCACAAGCTTGCGTAATCCGTCTCGTTCGACGGATGTTTAAAAACGTGGGCTCGACTCCGTACGTACTTGCGTGCCTGCCGGAGCCCTACGCAAGAACAGATAATGGCGTTGCGTGTCTCCGCACTGACGCGGACGGAGAAGCATAAATCAGGCTTTACGCCTGAAAATTGTTGCATAGCGGCCAGTTTGAAAGACTTAAACACATAGACTATAACTGATTCTACTTGAAGCAGCGATGTTCCGCGCCGCTGAAGCTTTCAGTGTGAAACCGGGGTTAGGTTCCTGATAGCATCAGCAGGGTCTCTAACACTATTGGCTGTCCCTCTGAAGCACATAATCAGTCAGACATTCAGTCCCCTGATTTAACCACCCATCACATTACAAACTATTTTTTGTGAATTATTTCAGCCCGAGTTAACATTTTAACTTTATGCTTTGGCAATAAACTCATCAGTAATTTCATGTTTAGGTTAGGCTAGGCAGCTTTATTTATATAGCACTTTTCACACACAGAGGGAATTGTGCTTTCCATTAGCAGGAATAGCATGAGCAATATAGTCTACGTGGCAGGACAATTACAATACACATAAAGTAATTTCAATTTTAAGAATAAAAGTAGACAAAGTTAAAGGCTGAGCAGTTACAGTGCAGAAGGTGCAGTATAAGAAACAGTCATTTAAAGGCTAATGAGTACATGAAAGTTTTCTATTTTAGTTACTAGAGTCGGGGCAGATTAGAGGTGATGAGGAAGCTTAGTTAGCATTTAACTAAAGGAAATGGACAAAAACTTCCATTTGAAACAAATGTTTTCAGCAACAAGTGAGAGTGGTCGTCCAGCAGCGTGGGGAACGCCGGTGAAGATGGTGGACGTCTATGAGGGAAGGGAGGGATCCATCCGGTGCCTTGGTGTCTGGGTTTCAAGTTCTCAGTTTAAATACGATCTTGCCTTTCCATGCCTGAGTCCAACGGATCATTTAATGGAAAAAAGAAAAGAATCCAAACTGCTCTCACGCTCGTAACTCATGAAACATGTAAGAAAGAGAAACAATTTTAGGGTTAATGACCGATACAACTCGCGGTTCCTAATAAGTGAAAGGCAACGGAGGACTTGACCTAAAATGAAACGCATAAACCAATCTAAGTCTGTTCTTGTCCACATATCAGCTGTCATGATTATCTGCAGCTTTTCTGAGCCTTTCCTCCTGAACCTCCAGCCTTGTATGTTACATGTGTGTAAGCGTGTGTGTCGCTAACAGCCTGTTAAGTTGACGTTGGCGCCAGATGAAAGTGCTCTCTCGGGCTCACATACTTGCCCGTGGGGGAGGTTGGGGTCTAATTGCTGGTTTAGAATCGACTCTGTGGTCAGTGTAAGCTGCAGCATGACACACAGAAACAGACTGAACACAGATGCTGAGAGAGACACGACGATGGGAACAAACTAGGAAGGAAACCACATTTGATAATGGATTAGTTTCCATTCACAACCACACGTCTTTCATTCACCCATTCATAAATTAAAGAGCTGTGAATGTAACATGCAAGGATTAAAAGGATCCCAAATACATTGGGTTTTATGTCCACAAGCTGTTTCAGTGGAAAGTTCAAGTTCATTGTTCTAAAATGAATTTGACAACAATATGAGACAAGAGTACAAATGCTACTGCAGTGTTTTGGCCAATTAGTAGGTTTCGTTGACAAAAATTACTTTTTAATCCACTGTAAGAGTCCTGAACAGAGCTGAGAATTAGTTCAAACGTAGCCAAGACTTGTTTTGGGAAAGCTTAGTTTATATATGAATTAGTGCAAAGGTCAGTTCACACATTTTAAAATGAACAAGTTCAGCTTATATAGTTCCCAAAATGAACTTGTTCATTGTTTTCCATTTTCCAGTTGCCTCCACCCGTTCACTTGTACCCAGTTGCAGCTTTCACCTCTACAGTACATTCTCAAAAACATGAGGAAAACATTTTAAATGTGGCATTCTTAAAGTGACAGTGTGTATCTTTCCTGGCAATAGGGGCCAGTAGATACATAAATCATTGCAAGCAAGCAGTATTTTTGTGTTGGAGTAAGACCTTACCAACGGAAGCCCATTAGGGTCAAAAAGCCCTGGTGAGTGCTAACTTCCATTAATACCCAGCTGCAGCCACTACAAACTACGCCCCTCCAAAACACGCCCCTATGGCCCTTACAAAACACGCCTGCATGTTCACAGACAAGACGAATGGAAATGGCGGTTCAGTTAAAGACAGATTTATATTTTTACAACTTGCGAAGATTTTTTACGTTAAATTTGAACGTTTAAGACATAGTTTGATAGATAGCGAATTAGTGGTTGTTTTTCTGAATCACTTTTATATAAAATTAAGCATTATTGGCAGCGGGGGAAGACGTCATGGACGCAAAATCTTTTTTATATAATTTTAAATGGGCTAGTTGCAAGCTTTTTGGCCAAAATAAATGTAACAATAGGCTATTTATTTGGCCATTGATGACTCCTCATAAGCAGCAAACTGTCACACGGCAATGTGGTATCCACGGCCAAAAATGGTCGCGATCGAACGTCTAAAATTTGTTAAAACATATGTAGCAGAAAATTCCATTAAAATCCAATCAGATATATTTTTACATGTCAACATTTTCATGTATTATAGTTATTTTGACAAGTAGTTGCGTGTATAGCATCCAGTAAATATTGGTCTGACGGTAATGTAGTGTCCACGATCAAAAATAATCTAGGAAGGACGGCTTAAATTGGTAAAAATACATTGTAACAGAACTTTTCCCTAAAATAAATTCAGATATATTTGTACATGTCTACAGTTACATGTAAACTTGTTATTTTTACAATTACATGTGTAGTTAAACAGAAAGCATCCCAGCAAATATTGGTCAGACGACAACGTAGAACGGCTTAAATTGGTAAAAAATATGTAACTGAACATTTCCTAAGAATCCATTCAGATACACCTATGTCTACAGTTATCTGGGGTCACGTTATCTTGACAACTTGTCACATGTAGTTCAACATAGAGCATAACTCCACTAGGTGATAAGAGCACCTTATGTCAAAGAGATAGCTCAGCTGATAAGGCATCTGCCTGATACGCAGACGATCCGAGTTAGAATCCAGATAGGATCATACGATATTCCGTCTCCGATTGCACTTGTGATTTGTTATTTTTTCCACTAATGATATTTTTACAATAATGATATATATATATATATATATATATATATATATATATATATATATGTATATTTACATTAATACAGTAATAAGAAAGCCGCAGAAATATACAGCTGTGGGCTGCAGTATGACTGGAGGTATTCTACAAACACAAGAACAGTGCTAATGTCTACGTGTATTGTTTTGACATTGTTTATGACAACCTCTAGGTGTGAATGTCATTTTTACTAATTGCTATTTATTTTGTCTAATTAGTGAGAGGCAGCTGATATCTTATGCCATGGAAAAAACATAAGCAAGGATGCAAAACAATAACTGCTCATGTACGTGGAGAAACTCAGAAAAGCTCTGGACTCATCAGAATTTTTGAAGAGGCTGTAGCATTATGTTGCCATAAAAATGTTTTTATTTACAGGGTGTTTGTAAGGCCAATAAAAGTTGTTGCTGGTTGTTCATTTGTTTGAACTTTTTTCTAAAGCAAAACTTTTCTACTTTTGTGTTCACAGTATATTTTTTAAAGATTAGTGTATGGTCAACATTGTGAATTGTACACTTAATTCAAAATATTTTAGTAATTTCAAAATCAATACATTTTGTGTCAAAGGGCCAGCAATTATTCCTGTTAACAGAATATATGAAATACATATATACACATATAAATATGCCTAAAAAGTACACATCAGCAGCTTTTCATTGTAAAAAAGCAATAAAAAAATCATAAATAGTAACATAAATATTAACTACTCACTCGTATTGACTTAGACCCACTGTTAATGCCTGTTATAACAAATGATTGAAAGTTAAATGTTGCTGTACGAGGCGTGCTCCCAAAAATGGGGGCTATTGGGCTTAAGGGGTTAATTATAATGATTTCCACTAATTACTTTTTCAGATATTATATTTTATTGCATTTATAATAAACACTTCCACGTACATTACTCACCTGCTAACTTAAAGGAGACATAACATGCTTTTAAGTTATTCCTTTTTACATCTAAATCCTTCAGTTGGGGTCTAAATACAGTGGAACTGCAGTTCTTTGGTCTGATTTCCTCATTATTGTTGCTCTACAGACCCTCATCTACCCCTGTTCTGAGGAGAGTCTTGAGAACGAGCCGTTTTTGGGTACTGTCTCTTTAAACTGGAGGAGGAGCTGTAAACTCCGCCCCCCTCCATAGTGCAGGCCTGTACTCTCCTCCCCCAGTCGGACTTTGTAGTTCTATAGAGAAATCATTATTTAGCATAGCAGATTTAGCATAGCATATTAGCATTTTTAAAACATGGGAGAGTAGTTCATCAGGGTGTTTCAAGGCTGCTAACTCTCTCATGCATTTGTCTGTAGTCACTCACTCACACCCGTCACTGCCGACGGAGGGACAAGCTAGCAGGCAAGTGCGCGCGCGCGCACACACACACACACACACACACACAAGGAATGCTGCTTGCTTATTTATTTCTATAAAAAATGTTTTAAAAAATGATACAGCTCATTAAAACACCATTAAAAGAATACATTTTATTAAGATCTCTATCTATATATATACATACATATAATTATAAATAATTTTATAAGTAGTCTTATTTTATATTGGGTGTCTTAAGGCTGAAAATGGATAAAAAGCAGTTACATTTTAATTTAAAGATTTGAGATTCTAGTCAAAAATAAAGAACATTCCTCCAAATGTTCTTTAATGTGATCATTATACTTCTAATGCTTACAACTTTGTTTTTATTGTCTGCAATGCGTAGCCTATATCTTTATTAAATATGTGTTTAGCTGTAAAGTGGTAATTCTCTCTAATGTGTACAGAGAGGTGGACATCAGTGCTGCAGTGAAATTCCCAAGATCAGTCTGCTTTGCTAACAAATATAGTTAAATCTTACCTGCATTCTAAATAAATACCGTTAGGTGAAAACATCAGTAGGCATTGAGTTATTGATAAAATCCCTAACAGCCAGAATGGAAGAAGAGCATGCTGGGTCATCCTGGATCTGAGCCTGTTCTGTGTATTTACCTACAGGATGCAATAAATGTCTACAAGGCGGAGTTTGGACCATTACATCTAAAAGAAAACATACAATCAGTGATTTTTTAAAATTGTTTACATTAATATACAAATTTTCTAAGTATTAACCTCACAGCAAATAAGTAGAACAATATAATAAACAGGCTTTAGTAGTTAAACAGGCGTTGTGCACACAGGTGCTTTGTGTCTCGGTGCTGGTGGTATCTAGGTCTCAGAGTTCCTGTCCTCCTGCCGTCTTCTGTTGTCCTCAGGATACGGATTGATGTTTCCTGGTGATGAGGGAGGGGCAGTATGTGGGCTTTAAACTGGTCCTGGATAACAGTGGGAGACCTCCGTTGTCTGAATACTGAGACCAGAGAGTTGGTGAGATGCAGATCTTCTCTACCTCATCTAGAAACGGAGTTGGTTCAGGGAAAACTTTTCCAAAGACCAGTTCCATGATGTCATCGTCATATTCTGCAATGATAGACGATAACTTTAATGACATATTTTGTTTACAAGCAGCTTTAGGAAAGTTGTTTCTTTAGCTTTCATGTTTATAGTCACGTTTGTGTTTGTTTACAAGTTCACTTTGCTGCAGTGACTTCATATTCTTACAAATGTAATAAAATAGTGACACTAAAATTATACAAATGATTCCTTATGAAAGGAAGCTCATTAGAGAGCAGTGCAGACAGACTTACTACATGCTGCAGCTGTTTTTGTAGGCCAGCTGCTGCTGAATTTGGGGAAAGTTATTCTGCACACATCCAGATCAGATGGTCGATTACAGAAAATAATGTAATTCAATAATTTCTAAACAGATTAAACAAGTAAAAGATCAAATAAATCACTCTGCTGTCATCAGACGGAGTGATTCAGGGGGTGAGGTGTTCTTAATGATGAGGGTGGCTGAGGTGTGTCATCACTCACTTTGGTCTGGTCCAGACCGTCTCTTTACTGGTGGGTCTCCTTCCTCAGTAGGTGACGTGAAACGCCAACATCTGAACGTTCTGTGTTCCTTAGAGGAGAAGAAAAGTAACATTAGCAAGCTGGCTAAATTATTTTTTACTAGCATCTCAAGGACTTGGAGAAGCAGATCTTCACTTACCTAAACATCAGACCAGTTTGTCCCAGCTGAGCTCATCAGGGCGTTAGTCTGACAGCCTGTCAGTGAAACACGGCTCCAGACTTCTGGATGTTGACTCTAAAAAGCAAAGGAGCATTTTTACTTTTGTTTTAATTATTTTACAGCCGATTTTATCAGCTTTCCGACGCTCACGCTCATACAGACGGTGAGCTTTGCTGCGTCTGACTGATAAAGTTTTTATATCTGCAGTGAGACAAAAAACTAACCTCACTCCACTCAGAGATTGTTCTTTAAAACTATTAAATCCACTGTGTTGACGCACTTTAATGACTTTGTCACGCTGCATTTTAGCTGATATGGGACTTTATTTACTGGATGCTAAGATTACATCACACTCATGTAGAATAACACACAGGCTCTCTGCTGTTACAATCAATGGGAGGTTATCATCTGGTGTAAAAGAAGGCGTTGATCAGAAATCACGTTTTATTCCACGAAAATCAGCCAAATCCACATTAATCTGGGTGCTAACTTTACTAGCATACTGTGCTAGCGATAGCAAGCCGGATGCTAACGCTTTAGTGCTGCTAATGCCCGTAAATCTAAAGTAAAGTTTGTCGACATTTTAGAGTGATATGAAGCTTACCGCTCTGCTGCTGTGTCCCGTTGCTGCCACATTCAGATGCAAATGACTCCTTTTAGATAGATGAAGCCCTCAGTACTTACTAGCCTGGAGACACGAACGAACGAACCACGCGCACGCGCGCGCGCACACACACACACACACAAACACAAACACAAACACACTACTTTTTCTTCTGTGTTTTTTTTAGCAGTAGTGTCATCAGCTCCTGGGTTTAAATACTGCCACACCACCCTTCCTTAAAACGAGGAACAGTTTTGAGCTGTGTGTGGCTAAAATAACCAGACATTCTGCATTTTTCCAATAGGACTACAAAAAATCTTAGCGAGAAGAAAAAATGGCGGATTGGCTCTGTGTTTAGCCGAGGGCCATTACCATATTTGGTAGTTATCCTGACTAAATTAATTACTGATGTAATAGATAATGTAAACACTGAACGGGTGGACAAATATGCCCAAAACTTAATTATTAAATATCTACATAGCAACTCCAGTGAATAATATAAGCCTTTTTGCTCACTTAGACACTTAAAATGTGAAACACACTGTGTTAATGGATAAAAAAGTGGGTTTTTCATGTTATGTCTCCTTTAAATAAGCATAGGTATGTTGTGCCTATTGTCCGGGAACTGATAATTTGTTGGTGGTATCTGTGTTTTATAATCCCTTTGGGGATGGCCATAAAGTGTGTATGCAAGAAACAAAAATTATCCATACATTCATATTTAAATCTGGAGTCCTGTCTGTTTAATTACATTGTTACTATTTCTGTATAAACTTATTCTTTCAATTGTATTGTTCACATTGAAAAGCGTTTAATGATATGAATCAACCCCCAATCTCCTGCTGGAGCCTGTGGCGGGGTGCTGCACTCTGGATCCGACCCAGGTTTCAGCTCCCCTGCCCCGCTGGGAGGGTTTGAAACACCGCCATCACCTGCTGGAGCCTGTGGCGGGCTGCTGCGGACCAGATCCGACCCAGGAATGAGCTCCCCTGCCTCCCTGGGAATTAAAAACACACCGCCATCACCTGCTGGTGCTAACAGCGGGATGCTGTGCCCTGGGTCCGACCTAGGTTTAAGCCCTCTCCCTTCGCTGCGAGGGTTAAAGATCCAGCCATTCTCTGCTGGAGCCAGTGACGGGGTGCTGCGGTCCGGATCCGACCCAGATTTAAGGTGCCCTGACCCGCTGGGAGGATTTAAAACACCTCCATCACCTGCCGGAGCCTGTAGCAAGCTGCAGTGGACCGGATCTGACCCATATCGCTGCCATTATTGATACATTTCTCTTGTCTGACCGCCAGGGGAGCTCAACAGGCACATGGGGGCGTGGTTTGTAGTGGGCTTGGCTTGTAGGGGCATGGTTTGTAGTGGGCGTGTTTTATAGGGGCGTGGTTTGTAGTGGCTGCGGCTGCAGCTAGACTTTACTCCAAACTTTAGCAAAATGACAAGCACATCAGACTTCCTTTCATCACTGGCAACAAGTGAAAAGGTAAATGTGTAAAACAACAACATTCATGAATGGTGAAAGTTTTGTAACCATTTGTTACAAATCAGTAAATTAATTTTGTCCTTACTGGTTCCCGTAGAAGGAAACATGGCGTCTAATATGGCATCGCCCAGAGGCTTAGACCCACTCCCATGTATTTTAGACCAGATTTGTTTTGGGTAGGACTACGCCACACAGCAATCAGGTATCATGAAATACAACTGCTGCATTGCTGAGGTCTGCAAATACAGCCCAAGATGGCGGCCCCATTTCTTGCACCCCAGCAGCCAATGTGGAGTCTTATTCTTTATCATTTCTATGGTTAATAGTACTGGTGTTCTCTTTAAATTTTTGAGTGTTTTAAATGTGATTGTTTTTCATTTTGTTAAGCACTGTGGTCCGTTGTTATGCTGTTGTGAAGTACTAGATTATAAAACTGACTTGCCTTAACAGGATTAGTACATTCCTCAAACATCCGCTTGAGCTTCCTTGTGGAATATCTGTGCACTGCAGGAATTAACTGCCAGTTATATAATGCCTAATAACACGTTTTCAATATTTATCATTTTTGATTGTTGCTTAAAAATAGATCAATCTTTTAAGATTACGAATGTACTTAGTGCTATTTATCAGGCTTTAAATGCTTAATGTTACCCCCCACACGACCATGGAAAGAAAAGTAACCCCCAGCAGAACAGGGCTGCTTTGGGCCCTGTACCTGCTGATGACATCGCACAGCACCAGGTTGTCCATAGTGTGGCATCATTAGTAGGTGCAGGGCCTCGAGCCCATCTGATACCTACAGTGTCTCCGCTTTTGAACACATCTGCAGTTTACAGTTGAAACGTGTCGAGAGACCACATGTACTTCATGCCTGAATTAAAAAAAAGAAGATCTGACATCTAATAGAATGATCAAGGTAAACAGAATGACAACAGGTATCCTAAATCCCAGAGGACTGCTCTAACCCGCTGGCATGGCAAGTCACCCTATATGTGTGATATGCGTTGTGCTCCGTCTCCGGTCTGTCTAGAGTTCTATAGGGTAGTGCTGGAACTATTGGAAAATTTAGCCGTAAAAGGTAGCAGCAATTATTTCCAGATGTTGTTAAATGGATGCCAGCTGCAGAACTATAACATTGCCATACAAACAGTAGTCCCGCCAAATGTTTCAAAATAAAATACCTATATATTAAAAAAAAAAAATTATCAACCTTTTTGAAAGTCTTTTTATTGTTTCTGTGCAGCCTAGAAGCCTAAATACTTAAGGACTGGTCTAACCCTGACCCAATGGTTGATGCCCTTGACTCTAGAACCAACATGGTTAGGATTAAGGTTAAATAAATCCCCATGAAAAAAAAAAGCTCTTTATGTGGGCCGAAAACCCATTCATCCAAATCTTTCTCTGGTATAGTCCATCACAGAGATGACACAATTAAAGGTCTTCAAAATGAAAAAGAGCCCCGACTGTATGTCCAAAGCATGAAGATATGTTTATTTAACATCTGAAATAGCGGCAGTTATTTAGATCTCAGTGCTAGAGTTAACCTCTCTGTCACTGGCCATGAGAGTCATTTATACTTAAGACACCAGTTAGGTCAGGCGTAAACCAACACAAAGCCATCTGTTGTCTCAGTTTACACAGAAATGAACCAAATGAAAGAAAAACACTTCAGTATAAAACATGTCTGCTGGTTTCATTCCAACATTCACATCAAATCACACAAATAAGTAGGATTTGCAAAAATTACAAAACATTTCAATAAAAACAACACAGACTTTAAATAGACATTTTTTTTTTTACAGAAGGCACAGCTTTAGTGGTTTCTGTTGCTTTACTTCATATTTGCTGTTCTCCAAACAGTATCTGAGCGTACACGGTCCCGCTCCGCGACGCCTTTGCCTCTGGAATCGGCTTCACCAGATCCAGCTCTGCGTATGTCAGGTTCTCTTCCACAATCCTGGGCTAAAGTTGAGGGGGAGGGGTGGGAGGAGAAGAAAAAACACACGATGATGAAGGCGGAGTCAGTGGTGAGACAAGGAAGGTCGAGAGAGAGACAGAAAAAAAGTTTTATGAAAAACTCTATTAAGCTAATTACAGGGTGATGTGGCACAAATGTCTTGGTTTGGTAAATGTTAGAAAGCTGTGGGCAGATCCCACCGACTGCAGAGTGGTTCAGGAACCAGTCAGATTATCACACATCTTGTGAACATTTCTGGCAGCGAGGGTGGTCTGACACCAAATAACTTCTTTCTGACACTTCTGCAACATTCAAACAGCTTCACCCTCAGGCTGAACAAACCTGTGTGTGAGTTACAGCAATAATAATAATAATAATAATAATAATAATGCATTGAACTTAAATAGTGCTTTTCTAGACACCCAAAGATGCTTTCACACACTCTCACATTCACACACTGCTAGTGATGGTAAGCTACTTGTAGCCACAGCCACCCTGGGGAGGTCTGACAGAGGCGAGGCTGCCATTTGGCGCCGTCGGCCCCTCTGACCACCACTAACACAGGTAAGTTGGGTGAAGTGTCTTGCCCAAGGACACAACAGCAGGATACCCCTGGCGGGAGCTGGAATCGAACCCATGACCCTCCGATCATGAGGCAACCCGCTCTACCACCTGAGCTACTGCTGCCCCGATAAGAAGCTGTTACAGAACCAAACAAACCCGAAATGCACTCACCAGTGTTACTTTTCTTGGCTGAGGTTTTAAAAGTTTAGGTTTGCGAGATTTGTCTCCGATGGGAGCTGTATGAATAAAACACAAAACCTGAATTTAGAGTACATTTACATAAGGTAACTTATTTAAAGTACACCCTGATCATCTACGTGGTACCAGTAAGAATATCTGAGGTCTAGTAAACGTTTACAGGGACATTCTTACTAGTTTTAGATCAACCCATCATAAAGCACGTCCTTTCTAAAAACATCCAAGTTTGAACTCTGTATTTTTAAATAATTACAATATTTGATTGTAATTATGTGGAAGAGTTTAATAATGTAATGCAGCCTTCTTTTACTGGTGCTGGGGTGGTAGCAACAAAGCTCTTTAAATGAGTTAATGGCTTAAAAATGCCATTGTTGAGAAATACATCATAATATATTTGTTTAGATCCATTTTTATTTGAGTCATTCATTTCATGTCTTGCTCTCCACGAGAGAACCTCAACACAGAGTCCAGCAGCTGCTGGATAACAGGTGAACTGATTCTGGTCTGCAGGAAGAAAGCACTGTGCACTCAGCATGGGCCTCATGGTGTTTTCTGTAGAGATGTGATGTCACTACTATGACCTCCAAATGTTATTGAGGTTTTAGTTAGCCTCATTTTGGTGTCCTTTAAGATTTTTTAGACAAAAATTATAAAAAAAATATTAAAATAATTTTAGAAAACAATGTCACCAATCTGCTGCAACGCCAAGCCAGCATCAAGGAGCCTTAGGTCACTTAGAAGTGGTCAGATGGTAATGTGGGGCAATCGTGTCCTCTTTTACAAAAGATTATGCAATAGCGGTATAAAGGGGTGGTTTCTGCGCTGATGCGGACTTCTGTTAATCTTGGACGTAACTTGGTTTTCATTGACATCAAAGCCGCGCTCATTAAGTTCTTTTGAAAGGCTGCTCCTGGTTTCTGTGCCCCCCACAGTCCATGCAGTCTCTGGTGATCTGAACTTCTGCTCTACTGGAGAAAAGCTCCCACAGCTCTGCATCACTCACGTTTATCATCCCAGCTGGTTCTGTTAACAAAACCAAAACTTACGGCCCGTGTTAACTTCCATTTTCAATACAGCTGCCGGCCAGAGCTCGGCAGTAACTCCACACACGTGATCATGACATCACCCTCTGTTGCGCCAAGGTGAAATATGAATTCACAAATATTACTAACGAGCGTGGCAGCACGAATGCTGCAAAATTCCTGCTGTCCTGTTCATAAGACAGGCTAATCGGTGTAATGCTGCCGTCACACACTATTACGCTGATTTCCCGCCACAGTGTGTATTCTAAAAAGGGCTAAACATTCTGAAGCAAATGCTTTCAAATGTTACCAGTTCTATCAAATTAATGCACACGCATACCTTCCAGTTACCACTGCAAAAAGTGTTTAAACAACAAACCACAAGAAAAACGTATAAAACCACCTCATTTGAAGGATGATAGTAGGGCTAAGAGCTGACTAGCATTAGCTGTAAGTTAACCATTTGTTCAGTTATACAGCTGGCTCCTTAGAGATGCTACAACTGTTCAACAATTAAAGTTATAATAAAGCTTTCAGGTAGAGTGGACACCAAACAGAGGAATAACTATAAAACTAACAAAAAAAATTCCATGGTATCCATTAAAACCTGGAACCATTTCATCTCTACAGTGGAAATCAGATAACTTCCCTATTAATGTCGCTGGGTTTCAGGAGCAGGAACCTAATGAAGGATCTGAATCCACATTAATAAACAGGATTACCAATCAAATCAATGCTTGTGTTCATATTTAGGAAACAACGAGGAACATATACTCAGATGTGACGTCTGACAGCACAGTGACAGGTAAAAGAAAAGAGGCGGAGCTTTTGTTCACCTTTGGCCGGTATCTCTGGTGGTTTCTCCTCTTGGTAATCCCTCTTCCTCTTCTTCCTGTGTCTCCTCTCCTTCTTAGGAATGACAGGAGAGACACTCACCACGCTGGTGACGGTTTCTCCTGAACTGGAGTGAAACCAGAGCGTTAGAATTTCTCCTGGCTTTATTATGCTGTTATGTGTAAGAAATGAAGCCCTCTTGACCTAAACTCACCTGTTCTGAGGGCTTTTCACTAAGTTGTACTGTTCTGCAAAAATATAACACACAGTTGAGTTTAAGCTCTGGTAACAATGGGAGAAAACCTTCTGAAAGGAGAGTAAAAGGATCGCTACCGACCTTTTAGCCTCTGCTTCCTCTGAATGAACTGACACGTTACGGTTACAGTGAAAAAGCACATGCATAGCAATCCCACACAGCAGATCAGCACTGCACACAGGTGCACATCTGAAATACACAACAACACACGCTTGTCACTTGTGCACACGTCTCAAAGACCACAAGAGAAGTGTGTGAACTTTAGGGATATTTTCAGACACACCAGCACTGTGTATTTTTGGGGTTGTGTTATTTTCTGTAAGTTCACTGCAAGTGTGCACACACGAGAGTGTGATAAAAATACAGCAGTTACCTTCAAACAAGCTCCACAGGCTTTCTTTGGCCTTGGTGGTCGGTAGAACATGCACTGCACAGAAAAAGAATATGTGGAGAGAAGAGAAACACGTGAAGTCCAGAGTCATCATGGTGGCTTCCTCTCTGCTTGATTACATGTTAAGTTTAAATCGAGCTAACAGTAGGAAGACAGCTGGTCTCTCACTGTGTCTGATTCATCCGCCACATGTCTTCCCTTTGGTGGGTGAAAAGGATAAATATTTAGGTAACGCAGACATTTTGGTATATTTTTGTCTACGTTTCAGACTTGCAGACAATAAAAAAAATGTACACTTTAAATTTTTAGGTCTTACTTTGAGGTTAAAATTAAGAAAAATGAAAGTTTGGCTAGGGTTTAAGTGATGAACGTTGTGTTCCTTCTCAGTGGCATTCACATCCTGCTCAGGTCACACCAAAGACCTGAACAATGGCACCCAACACCTCCCTGTGTGATACTCAGCTTTAAGGGGTTGGGTTGGGGGGTTAAACCACCAACTAGTTCCCGAGTGCAGCCGCTGCTGCAGCTCACCACTCCCTTCAGGGATGGGTCGGATCAGAGATGTAATTTTACCAGTGTGTGACGACGGCTAATGGGACTTTAGCTTTTACTATTTAAGTAGCGTTTCACAATAAATTCCACAATTTTTAATACTTTCATGCAATTAATGTGAAAGTAAAGAAAATAAGTGTAACAGTGAGACTGACCTCATGAAGCTGTTTTCAAACATGTTTCTTTACAAAAGTTATCATCAAGTAACCTGAGTTAGGAGAAGTTGGGCTTGTGCCCAACAGAGCTGAGAAGCTAACAGCTAGCTGCCTTCTTCTGATGACTCCATCCTGAAAATTGTCTGAAAAAGGTTTTACACCACAGTCACATTCGTGTCACATGCCTACGTACATTATGTGGTTTTAAAAACGTAGAAATGTAGAGTTAAAGTGTGCAATAGAAGCATCTGCTTATAGAACATCTGCCACGTTCAGTGGTCAGTGTGAAATGTGTTCTGTTTGGGATTGCACAAACAGCCTTTGGTCTTGGCTGCATCCAGTTTGCTCATCTGGTGGTAAACTGGAAAGAAAATACAAACCCAAAAAGCCCAATATTGTAAAAGTAACATTAACAATTTTACTTAGATTCAGTAACTCCATGAGTTAAATATTTCAGTGTAGATTTCAACTGCCTGTGGATTTGGTCGATTGCACCTGGTGAGCTAATTAGCATTAGTTTCATTTGTTTGAATTTCAGTTTTTGCTGATCTTTTAGTTATTTTTTTGCTAATTTTAGCTCACATTGAATTTAACGTATACAACAGGATCTACAGTCTGCTGCAATGTTCTACAAACATGATGTTTATGAAAAGATGCAAAGCTAAACCTGAGCTAAGGTTTGCCCTTTCGGTAACCCTTAGAAAAGACTAATAATTAATTTATTGTTATACTTTTTATATATAATGTAAAGAATTGGTTTATTTTAGATCTAAGTTGCTGAGCAGCATAAAAAACACAAACCCTCTAAACTGGTTTGCAGTGAAAGATGTGCAGGCTGTCAGATTCTAGTTTTTAATTTTCTAAACTAGCGCCTCCTTATATGTTCTTCACATTCCCCAAGATTAAGTACAAGCACCACTGAGAAAACCAAAACACATTTCCCATGCTTGGTGTCAAGTTTTGTCCCTCACACTCCCTCATTCTCCTCCCCAGCTGACCACAGCGAGTTTTAACACCGTTTTCTGAGCCAGTGGCAGGAAGCTGGTCAAGTGACACCCACAAGCCCCAGCAGCTGACGACTAGCTGGCTCGCCGCCTCGCCTGCAATGGCTCCTCCAAGGGGTGGCCAGGGGTGGCCCTGCCCACCTCTAGAAAATTGTTTTACAGCCTCAGATTTGCTTTGCTAACCCAATCTCGAAGCATTAAGAATTAGAGATGAACACGGTTGAGGTAACGTTGGACACAACCAGTGTGCGTATTCTCTTCGAGATCCTCTACCGGTTAATTCCAATAGCAGATGTAACAGTAAGCCTCACCATTCCTTCACAGTTTGACTTTATTTATTTGGGATCATGTAAAGGAACATTACCCTCACAGGAGAAGATATGCTCCTCACCACTAAATTTGGTGCCTGAATCAGGATAACATCTCTGACATTTGTGTGTTTTTGCCAAACGTTTCGTGTGGCTCAGCTCATTTTATGCGGCAGCTGTGAGTGCTGGAATAGTCACAGATTTCATAAATCTGCACAGTTCCATGATGGAAAACAGGCCTTCTCTTTTGAATGGCTGGGGGGAAAGAAGAGAAAATCTCTTTTCCCCAGCACAGGCACAGGGTTGTTTTCAGTTGCAGGCTGTATTTTAGGCCTGTGGCTCTTTCTTGTGCCCAAACAAAGCCAACACTGTAAACATCAATAAGCAGACATGGACTGGACTGAATAATGATCCTCAGAGACTGAGTCAGTCACTGCTACATAAATGACTGCACATACACAACCCCATCACAAACGCTTTTAACAAGCCAGCCTTTTACTTCCTGTTGTCCATTTGTATCTTCTGAGAATCTTTTATTACCCTGGACTCTTGCTTAACATGTTCTTGTCTTGTGGATGTAAAATGCTGCTTTGTTTAATGATAATTTTGAGTTTATTAGTGGATTTCTGCTGTCTTAAAGAGACATTTTGTAGTTTTTACCAGTAATCTCTGGAAATATTCATGAAAAATGTTGTTGAAAATTATTTAAATGATTCCCTGTTGTTGAAAAATATTAGCAGCTTCGTAACATATAACCATAATAATCGGGTCTAAAACACAAAGGAGAACGTCTAAGTCTCTGGGCGACGCCATGTCACCGTGTTTCCTTCTACGCATCGTGATTCCTTGTGTTTTTCACGGGGGAAACAAGAAAAACTGCGAGATCGAGGCACTGGCTGTCAAGGTAGAGTAAAAACAAACACGTAGCAGAGGCTGTAGAAGCGGTGTGGACAGAGGCGATGTGAAAACGACTAACAAAGTGGAATACAACGTTGAATTGGAAGTTTTAGCTTTTTTTACTACCACCTGTGTACTTGACAGTTCTGCATTCCTAACATTGCATAAAAGAGCCTGTAGTTTTATTCATATTTTTGTACACTTACTGTAAAGATCCCCCCTCCCCGAGGCCGGTTGTGACCCCCCCCCCCCCCCCCCCCCCCCCCACACACACACACACACACTTCTAAAGTCAAAACTACGCCCATGTACACACACTGGTGCTCACCTGGTACTCTCACAAGTGTGTACTTGGGCATTTTTAACACATAACCTACGACAACGAACCCTACAAAGGAGGTAATAATAAAAAGGAAATAAAAAATGCATAGCAAAATGTAATAGCATAGAACAGAAGTTGTGATCAGCCAGAACATATGCTAAAGTTCAGATTATGCTAAATTCAGATCATGCTAACTTCATAATACAATAAATGTAAGTAAAAAAAATGTCAAGATTAGGGTTGGGCATCGAGCATCGATTGCAACCGGGACCAACGGTTCATTTTTTCCGGAATCGCTTAACGTTTTATATTACGATTCCTGGAATGCCGAAGGAAGAGGAATCCGCGGCCGATCTCCATGAAAAATTAACGTGATCTGCAAATTGTGATCAACACTCGTCAGAGCTGATCACACCGGCTGTCTGTGTGCAGCACCGAGTCCCTCCTCCCGCCACCCGGCACGCAGCGGCCAAATATAAAGAAAGGCGTCTGCGGAACTTTTACTCCGCAATGTAAACTTTAACTCCTGCAGCGTAGAGGAAACTTGTTAAATACGTCAACACGGTGCATTTAATAGAAGCTTTAAAGAACAAACTCTGGACGGTGTGAGGTGAGTTTGTCTCACTGCAGAAATAAAAACACACACGGAGCGTCAGCAGTCAGACGCAGCCGCTCACCAACACTTGTGTGTGTGTGTGTGTGTGTGTGTGTGTGTGTGTGTGTGTGTGTGTGTGTGTGTGTGTGTGTGTGTGTGTGTGTGTGTGAGAGAGAGAGAGAGAGGGAGAGAGAGAGATACTCAGAAGGCTGAACAATAACCTGTAGAATAATTAAAGTCATCATGCTAGAGCAGCTTCTCTGTGGTGGACCACACCAGCTTCTGCCACAATAAATAATAATAAATAATAATAACATTTTAATTTCCTTTCTGAACTATTTCTGTTGAGTTTTAATGTTTAAAATCTGTTAGATTGCTACTGACAGCAGCTACGTTTAAGTTTCACTTCCTGTTGTGACTGAATGTTGCTGCAGCATGGAGGTGCAGTTCTCAGTCATCCTGGACATGATCATCCTGAGAGTTTTAGCTGAAAACAGCTGGACGTTTCTGGATATGTTGGAGACATTTAGCCTCTCATCCCAGAGGCTTCTTCCACACTTTGGTTGTGGTCAGAAACAAACACGCTGGTTGTGCTGCAAGTCTTTCTTTTTTTTCTCCAAAACATGTTTTTGTCTAAATGAAGGTGATGTTGTAGTTCATAGAGTTAAAATTCATGTTGAAGTTAAGATTGTTTCATCAAGTAGGACCTGTGGTTAGCTGGCTCATGTAAAACGTCATGTCTTTAAAGAATCGGAATCGGGAATCGATAGGAACCGGAATCGAAACGAGGAATTGGAATTGTTCAAAATCAAACGATGCCCAACCCTAGTCAGGATTCAGAACCTCGTCATTGGATTTACACTAAACACCACAGCAAGATCCAGCATTACTGTATCATCCCTGACACATTTGTCTTTGGACTCTGACTGATTTATAATGCTTTAACGTTCATTAAAATCTTTTATACAACCAAATTAAACAAAACAAAACAATAAAGGTTTTCGTTATCTTCGGGTTTAGCCTTTGTCTTTTATTACATACTGTATTTTGGCTCTTATTTCCAGCCTTAAACCAAAATGTTGCAGTAAGCTGCTTTTATTATTATCACAGAAACCATAATAGAGTGGCGCTTCCTCAGATTGAAATAACTTCCCACTTCCGTGGCCACAGTGTCTTTACAGCCACACACAACAGATGTCTTCT